TTCAATAATTCCGATAACACAATATAAAAATCGTTAGTTTTTCCAAGAATTCTATTCGTGCGCAAGTTTTGTCAATATAACTGAGCTAAAACAAAATAAAAAAACTAAAAACCAAATAATTAATTCTTTTTTTTTTTGGCCAATAGCTTTATTGAATGCAAATAGTTGTAGCATATTTTGTATATAGATTATAATTTGCATATATATTTTTCTTGCTGTGCTCCATTCCCTGTTATTCTCTTTCCATATACTCATCCTTCATTGGGGCTATTACCCGTTCATTATATACTCCTCACATTATCAAATTCTCTTCCTAGTACCCGTACACCTGATCAATTTCATTGACCAGCAAGGCTATAGTCGATTCGGATGTCTCCGAGCCCGAATTATCCTCATAATCTTCCTCCTCCTCATCCTCAACATCACCTTCCCCTTCGCCTTCTCCCTCGCCATCGCCCTCGACCTCGCCGTCGCCATCTTCCACTTCGATAATCTCGATCTGAGAATCATGGGGCTCATTGACGAGATTGACGGTGACAACGTTGCCCTCGCTCTCCGGTTGGGCCACCTCCTGGTCCGCACCGCTCGCAGCATCATCCTCCTCGTCGCGGTCATCGGTGTCGGGATCCATGTCCGAGTCGATGCCAACTGGATCGTGTGTTGCCTGCAAGATCATGTCCGGCAAAGCGACGACCTTCGAGTCCTTCTCCTGCTTCTTAATGGCGAAATCAGCTAGCCACTTGTTATACATATCGAGATTCTTATAGAAGCGATCCATGTGGCCAACTGGTGCAGCGATGTTGCTGTCCGCTTCCTCCAGAGTTGCCTTTGGGGCCTCAGCCGGGGCAGTAGTTGGTGGTGTTACTTTGGTCAAGATGGGAGCTACCAATGGCATGGTAACTGGCGCTAGTTGCTCCTCGACCAGCATGGAGCACAGCAGAGCTCCAGTGAAGTGCATACGATGTTCATCTGGTGGCAGATCGTGCTGCGACGGCGACTCCTCCTTCTGCTTGTCCATGCCCATAAACTGAGCGCATAGAAACTTATTCGAATCGCAACTCTCGGCCTTCTCCTTCTTCTCTTTGCTCTTAGTCTTGTCCTTATCTTTGTTCTTGTCCCGCCCATCAGCGACTTCTGGTGCTTCACGCAAGACGTCCGCATAGCTGGTCACCAGCCTCTCGGCCTGTTGCTGCTGCTGCGGATCCATCAGACTGGACGAGTGCGCCCAGTACGTGACCCAATCATTCTCGCCCGTGCGCCTCGCCATCTGCGAGCTCACCTTGGGAAAGAGCGTGCCCAGGCGCATGGTCGCCGGCAAGTTGCGCAAGCGCGTCACTTTCGGATTACGCATGGTGCGAGCATCCAGAAGGATGCCCTCCGAACGTGCCGACGCAGGAGCCTGCGACGCCGACGGCAGCTGCTGGAGTTGACTCAGCTGCTGATGCAGCAATTGCTGCAGATGCGGTCCTTGCTCCTCGCCCGCTCGCACCGAGAGTGTCAGACACTGATTGGTCGCATAGTAACGGGGATTGTTGTTGTTGCTAAAGCTCAGCTCCTCGAGCACGTTCAAGGCCTGCTGCTCCAGGAGAGCGGCGCGCCGGGCCTGGGTCATGCGCACAGCCTCACGGAAACTGACCGCCGAGTCGTTGACGTTGCGCTGCGCGGCCACAGGCATCATTGGGCGCTGCACGGGAATGATGGCGCGCGGCCGGGGATGGGCCGACGTGGGGGCAATGACTGCATGCGCAATCGATCCCGAATTGGAGCCAGAACCAGAGCCAGAACCAGAACCTGAACCAGACGCAGCACCAGCAACAGCAACAAAAGTCGTACCATTTGCCGGCACACTTTCGGCATTCTCAGTCAAACGCACCGTGGCGGCGGCTGCATCCGCCGTATGCCTGGTGTAGAGTATGCTGAAATATTCATCGAAATCCTTGTGGCCGCGATGCGCATCGGACAGATGCTTGTAGAGCTGCAAGGTCGAGAATCCCAGCTGATTGCACAGCGCACACTTGTAGCTCTGCGGCACAGTCGTCTCCGAGTAGGGCTCGCCAGCAAAGTAGAGCTCGTACTCGGCGCGTGTGTAGTGCACCTCCAAGGGATGGAAGTACTTGTGCTCCGGCGCCTCGGGCAGCTGGTCCGAGTCGTAGCAGTTGCCACAGATCTGATAGCCAATGCACATCCAGCAGGCATAGCGACGTCCGGCAAAGGAGGCGGCCTGGCACTTGGAGCAAATGTAGCCGAAATGACGCTCCGGCGGCTGGACGGACGTTGGCACCATGGCTTAAAGGTAAACAAGTGCGATTAGCCTTCGTGGCGTTGTGTCTCTAACTGAAAAGCTAGCGGCAATTGAAGTTGTGTATATCAAATGTAGACATGCATATGTACAATATAAATATACATATGTATGTATATATATATACATATGTATGTATACACATTTAATTCTTTGTTGTACTCACACTCCAATTGCATAAATAAATTTCTAGCTGTTCTCATAGAAATTATTGTGCTTAGCTTTTTCATTAATTGTTTTTCTTTTACTTACTTTCGTTTTGCACTTTTTATGAATAGAATCAAGGAAAATTTCAGTTTTCGCTTGTTTTCTTCAACTGCTCTCAACTGTTTTTCACTTTCAGAATTTATCTTGCAGCTCGCTAAAAAATAAAGTAAATGACAAGAGTAACCGCTCGTTGCCTTTCACACACACAGACACACACCCACGCAACTTGCGTTCCACACGTTCCACAATCGCCTTTTGCAGCGCTGCCAACTTCGTTCGTTTCTCTGCTTTTTGTGTGCAACAATATTTGTATTTTATTTGAAATTATTATTTGTCTTTTATTTGAAATTTGTATTTTCTTTTATTTATATTTTTGAAGTGATCTCGAGTCTATGAAAAACTTGGAAATGATATTCACTATATTTATTTTGGATTACCAAATTATTTGTGGCGCAAAGCCTACTGAGCAAAATCGAATTACTTACGTATAAATCGATAAATCAGTCAATCGAAAATTGAGTTATCTCGAATAGTTTCCTATGCAAGCTGAGTTCTTGCACAATGTCATTTAAATAGAGTTAAGGCCCATAATATTATTGTAATATTAATATTATAATATTATTATTATGATACCAGAACAATAAAAGTATATAGAATATATGATTTTTGTTGTTTAGATATGTACATATGTATATCACTCTAAATCGTTAATAATAGTAACAAATATTTTTGTAATATAAACATTTATTTTAGTAGAATATTTATTAGACTTTGTTTAATGAGTTTTACTTAAATAGACACCACATACCCGAATAGTGTCAAGAAAATATGTATTATTAAATATGATCATTATATGATGATGATGATGGGTTGAGATTTACTCATTAGTAATAATGACCGAGAGGAGTTAGCCAGCTAGAGCCTCAGTTGAGCGTAAGCGGAGATATGTGGGTCAGTTATGTTATATATAAAAACTATTTATATTTATATTTAATACCAACAGTTTATGTAATAGATAGGCGGCACATTTGTATACAGACAATCGCTCGAATTTGAGCCCAAATCATGTTAAGTGAAGGCGTAGAATTTCATGTCTAAGAATCGCTCTATACACATACA